TAACTAAAATGTCTTTTTACATCTTGTTTTATTTTTTATTTAATAACCTTTTCCTGCTGGTTTTCCCATCTAGACAGATGTGCTGAGCTGTAAAGTGTTACTGCATGAGGTTCGAAAGGCTAAATGTGCAGCTTTGCCACATCTCAAAACAAAAAACAGGGTTCAAATGAAAACCTCTTTAGTGACACGAAGCTCTGGAAACCCACTTGTTATCAGACACGCAGGCGTTGGCTTGGTAATATCCCACTATCCTCTGCTGAGTCTGTGAACACCAAACATCCACCTGGAAGGAGGAGAGCACCCACCGCCACTTTTAAACTTCATTTAATGCTGATGCAGGTTATAAATTCTTAATAACTTGGTAGGTTGGTCCAGAATATCTGACTGCAGGGTTTTATGCCTTCACAATAAACAATCACGAGGAGCCTTTAAGGTCTTTTTGCTTCTCCAGGATCAGAGCTCCAGACTGTGGTGCTATTAAACAAAATTGTGAGGGCAGAAAAACACCTGTGAGCACCTGTGTAAGGGCCAGCTGGGTGATAGGAGCCAGGGGCAGGTGGGAGTGGAGCAGCGGGACACAGTCAGTCACGCAAACAGCGCCACCTGTCGGGCTGGACGACAACAGCAGGCCATTGATGCTACAGCGCGGAAAGAGGCAGGCGTGCAGGTACATCTTCACGTAAGCGCGACAGGACAGCTCCACCTCACCCATGGTGTCCGCTGCGGGGAGATAAGAGCACAGAAGCACTGAAAACTTGCCTCAGAGGACCGAGGCTAGCGGGAGAAGCACTGATGAGACACATAATAAAGGGCTGCCGTTAATAATGTCGCTGAATTTATCGCAAATCAGAAGGAAAAACGTCCGCAAGTGGCAGCAATGAGCTGCCAACCGGCCACACTGTGAATGAGCATTAGCATCCAAGCTAACCAAGCAGAGAATTTAATTCCGCCTTACCTGAGTGGAAAGATCAGTAAACACCAAAATCTACAGCTTCAAACTGGAAATATCAAATTAAGCTTTGCACGCAACTGTTGACACGGGCTTTTAAAAAACAGACCCAATTCACTTGACATACATGAAGAGCGTCTGAACGGCTGCTTTTGGTCCCGCCTACATGTCTTAAATGTAATTACCTGATTGGCTAAGAGATAAAGGCTTTGTAATGCGGTTCGAGATAAAAGATGCCAATCATTTCGTCAGGAGTTCAACGTAAACACGACTATGTATATGCTTTACGGTAGTGCGCCCTCTACTGAAGAGGATGACCGAGGGTGTGTGTGTGTGTAAAGAAAAGTAAAACTATATCAAGTACAATAGAATAAAATATACATGACTTAATTTGTGTGACTGATTTCTTTTGCACTGACAGAACTGCACCTCTATTTAGTCTAATAAAACTACTTTGTTATTGTAGTTTCATTGCTACAATGACAGATTCTGGTTCTGAGAAAACAAAACAAACCCACTCTGAAAACTCAAATTTGAAATAAATATTTTAAATAAATGTTACATTCATAACCCAGCCTTTCCCTGTCAACAAAATGGTAAATGGCCTGCATTTGTATAGCGCTTTACTCAGTCCCTAAGGACCCCAAAGCGCTTTACACTACATTCAGTCATTCAC